TGAACTCTCCAGACCCTCACCTAATTGCTCATCCCTGCTTCCCATCTCAGTAAGTGACAGCCCCATCTGACGTGGAACAATGTCGAGTTGCCCTTGACTCCTCTCCATTTACCCTCCACATCCAAGGGAACAGAGAATCCTGTGGACTCTGACTTCAACGAATGTCTAGAATCCAACTTCTTCTCAACATCCCTATTCTGACACCCCCACCCACCCGCCATTTCCAAACCACCAGCACTGCTCTGTGGGCAGTGGCTTTGTCTGTCTTGTTGGTTGCTGTATCCCTTGTGCCTATAATGGTGCTTGGAACATAATAGGCCATCAATAAATATGTGTGAATTAAATTATTATATACCCTAGAGTTTGCTATGCACATACGACACAAAAAGGATTTTGTTTCTTGATAAACAAATGATTTCACAACTAGGAACACTAGTTCACAAATGTCTTCACATTTTTTGACCAGTCACCAGGCCCCTTACATATGGCAGGAAGATGCTAAACAAGATGAATGAGGCTCAGAGAAGTAGGACATTTTCCAAGACCAAACATCTAGTGGTTGGTGGAGTTAACATTTGACTCGTATTCATTTATCGAACTCATCAGGTATTTATTAAGCACCAGTTATGTGCCATATATTGTTTGGGAAGAACCAAATAGACCAATTCCTTGCATTCTAGTAGTGAGAGAAATGCAAGAAGTGAAATGTGTGTATGACAGGTGCTACAAGAAAGCAGGTTAAGGGAACCAGGAGTGATGGGGAAGCTTTCGGAGGTAGGATGGTCGGGAAAGATCTCTTTGGGGAAGTGGCATTTGAGCAGAGACCTGGAAGAAGTGACGGGGTGAGTTATATAAGTGCGTGAGTAAAGAGCAGAATCCCGAGGTAAGCGACTTTTGGCAAGTTTGGGTGACAGCAAGGAAGTTGGTGTAGCTGGAACCCAGAGCGTGAAGGGCAGAATTTTTAGAGATGAGCTCAGAGATGTGGAGGGGAGCCAGAGGGACCTGGAAGGCCAGTGCAAGCCTTTGAATTTTACCCTGAGTAAAGTGGGAAGCCGTTAGTGGGTTTGAGCAGAGGAGAGACATGGTCTGACTTAAATTTTAACAGGCTCACTCTGGCTGCCTCCTGGAGGCCTGAAGACAGGCAAGAGTGGATACAGAGAGATCTGTCTAGAGACCTCTCTTGGCCAGGCTGTGGTGCCCAGTTGTTTGGTCAACCAGCAGTCTAGATGTTGTGAAGATATATTTTCAGATGTGATTAATGTTTACAATCAGTAGAGTTTAAGTGAATAATGTATGTGGGCTTCATTCAATCAGCTGAAGGCCTCAGAAAGACTGAGGTTTCCCGAAGAAGAAGGAATTTTGCCTCAAGGTTGCAACATGGAAACCCTGCCTGAGTTTCCCACCTGCTGGCTTGTCCTGCAAAATTCAGACTCAAGACTGCATCTGAATTTCCAGCCTGCCAACCTGCCTTACAGATTTCAAACTCGCCAGCTCCAACAATTGAATGAGCCAATCTTTTAAAATAAATCTAGACAACTTATCTACAAAACAGAAATAGAGTCACAGATGTAGAAAACAAACTTATGGTTACCAGGGGTGTAAGGGGGCGGGAGGGATAAATAGGGAGATTGGGATTAACATATACACACTACTGTATATAAAACAGATAACTGCTGAGAACCTACTGTATAGCACAGGGAACTCCTCTCAATACCTTGTAGTGACCTGTATGGGAAAAGAATCTAAGAAAAAGTGCATATATGTATATGTATAACTGATTCACTTCACTGTACAACTGAAACTAACACAGAATTGTAAATCAACTCTACTCCAATAAAAACTTTTAAAATAATTAATTAAATTTAATAAAATAATAAATCTAGACAGAGATAGAAGATAGATAGACAGATAGAATACATATAAATATATAACAGGATTGGTTCTGTTTCTCTGGAGAATCCTGACTAATACCAGGGTGTTGCAAGAATCCACGACACCAATGATGCATGGTGATAGCTTGGACCTTGACGGTGGCAATGGAGATGATGAGACATAGTTGGAGTCTAGAAATATTTTGAAGGTAGAGCCAACTGGATTTGCTAATGAATTGAATTTGGCAATCAAAACAAAGGGAGGCATCAAGGATGACCCCCCGATTTTTGGCCTGAGCAACTGAGTGAATGGTAGCACCCTCACCTGTTCTGGGAGATGCTGAGGGGGTAGATAAGTGAGTCTGGAGCTGAGGGGAGAGATCAGGCTAGGGAGTGAACAGGGTACCAATGGCACTGAAGTCCTTGAGCCTGGATAAGATCTCCAAGGGGGTGACTATAGACAGAGGAAAGTGGTCCAAGGACTGAACCCTGGAGCCCCTGGGGCATTCTAAGCTCTAGAGGTCAAGAAGAGAAGAAAAAAACAACAAAGGAAACTGAGAAGATGGGCCAGTGAAATTGGCAGAAAATCTGAAGAGCGTGTGTCCCAGAAGCCAAGTGGAGAAGGTGTTTTATTCCAAGAAAGATGGAGTGGTCAGGTGTGACAAATGCTGCTGGGAAATGGTCAGTTTGGGGGCAGGTAGGTACCGTGGCGGTGGGCACTGGGCAGGGAGTCCAGTGCGGAGAGAGGAGCGGCCCAAATACACACAGAGGCAAACTGCCACCCACTCTCCTCCGTGTTCGAGGTTTCCACACAGAGACCAGAGTCGAGGCTGGCATGACAGTCACTTCCCATGTCCCTCAAGAAGCCAGCACCCTGAGAAACGTCAACACACACTGTCTGAATGGGGGCAGCGGCGAGGGTTTGTGTCTGTGCCTCTGTGGCGTGATGGATGGTGGGTCATTGGTGAAGAGATTAGAAAGAGCAGCATTGAGATATGAATCTGAGTCAGATTAGGCAGACAGGGAAGTCACACCTTGTTCCCAGGAAAAGAGTGACACATGATGGGCCCTGGCTGGCAGAGCTGAAAGACAGAGAAGGGAAGACCATGGCTACTGGGACCTCCAAACCTACAGGCTTGTTCCTTGCCTCTTGGTGTCTGGCCAGTGGGGCTGAGCTTGCTTGGTGGAGAGAGCAAGGACTGGGGATTCGAAGATCAGAAGTGTCCCAGCTGCAGGTTCAGAGATGGGGCCGGTCAGGGAGGGCTGCATGGGGAAGGAGAGGCAGGGAAACCACCACTCACGACATGGCCCCCACAGGCCAGGCACGTGCTGGGGAAAGGAAGAGTCACAGGCTCCTTTGGGATGGGACTGTCCAGTTTTTCCTCACAATAGCCACTGTGAGGTTGTCCATTATTTCCTCCACTTACTGATGAAGAAATGGAGGCTTGGAGAAGCCACACAAGGTCACACAGGTGAGAAGTGCTGGAGTCTGGGTTTGAACCCAGATCTCCTTACATCCAAGGCCTGTGTTCCTTCTACCATAAGCTGAGCAGAGGCAAGAATTCCAGAGAGAAAACCTGCTGCTCACACAGTGCTTGAACTTGTTGGGCCTGTAAAATGAATTTCATCTGTAAAATGAAGACAATTATTACACTGTCCCATCAGATTGAATGAGATTAGGCCCATAGAACAGCATGGCACCTGTACATTAGAGAAAAGAGAGTTATTGTTACTGACAGTTATTTCAGTTTACAGATATGAAATCATGTAAGAAAGTCTATTAAATTCTTCATACTCATAAGAGTAAGGGTCAAAGTCCGTATTCAAAGCAAGACAAAGGAAATACCAAAGTTCACTCAAGCTTTTTTCATTTCACCCCCAAGAAAAGAAAGAAGGAGGTGAGCATTTCAGGCAGGTGGAAAGCAGCAGCAGAATCACGAGATGGGATTAGGCTCGTGCAAGGAGGATCAGCTCTAGGGAATACAGTGACATCAGATTTTAGCCACAGGTTGGAGAGTGGTCCTGAAATAGATAGATGGGCTATCTGGGCTTCAATTCAATGTTATGCACGGGGCACCTACCGCACGCCAGGCCTGGCAGAGCAGAGCCCTGGGATGGACGCTGTTGACAGCTGCCTGGGCTGGCAGTGGTGATGACGCCCTTGCAGACTTTGCCCACTTCTCCCTGACCCAACCTTCAATCACGGAGGTCGTAGGTCATGCACTGCCCCGAATGGCAACTGTGAAATTAAGGGACCTGTGACAGCACGAGTTACCCACAGATGAGGACGCGCTCAGGTGGGCCCAGCCCCATCACTCTCACAGCAACCTCTTGTGGTGGATTCTATCATTATGCCCATTTGATGGAAGAGAAAACTAAGGCTCAGTCAGGGTCGATGTGACTTGCCAAGGTCACGTGGCTGCGGCAGGATCAGGATTCGAACCCAGGTCAATCTGTCTTCAAGGCAGGTGCTCTTTCCTCCATACTGGGGTAGGCTATTGGCTTCTGAAAGGCATCGACAGGTGAGATGGACAATACCTGGCCTGAGTGTACCCATCACCATGGGAAATGGCAGGCAGAGGCAGGTTGAGGGCCTGGGCAGGGACTGATCAGGATGGTCCTTAAATAGAACTGGGGAGAGGGGAGTGGGAGAGACATGGGTCTGAGGGCACGGAGAACTCTGAGGTCAGCCTTGTATCTGCCCACCTTGCCCTGGACCAACCTGTCTGTCTGCACCTTTTGACCTGAGAAAGAACCCTAGGCTGAGCTGGGTCAGATGCCTGAGGAGCTGCTCTGCTATCGACTAGCTCTGTCACCTGGGACAAGACACTTTACCTCTGGAGCCTCACTTTCCCTGTCTGTGAAATGGCCTCCCTCTCACCCCACTCGCTCGCTGTCTTGTGCACAAGGCAGGCGCTTAATGCTGCATCATGCTCGGGTGTGCTCTGGGCCTCCTTACCTCTATCATCCCCAACCCCTTTCCTGGGGATGGGCTCTGGGCTTGTCAGGATGCCAGCCAGCTGTTCAGCCCCACCCTGGCTGGCCAGTTAATGAGTGACCAGGGAGCTGGAACCTGGCCTATAAAGAGCTGTCAGCTGAGGAAGCAGGTGGGAGCCTGGTGGACGGTGGCGAGACACAGAGAGAACGAGATGGCTACCAGGGCACTGTCAGGGCTGCTGCTGTGTGGGGTTGCTGTGGTCTTCCTGGTACTGCTGCAGGGCGCACAGTCAGTCTACATCCAGGTTTGTCCTGAAGGTCCCCATGGTGAGAGGCTGGGATGGAGAGGGAATGCTGGGCAATTCACTGAGGAGAGCTGAGGACCCAGGGCTCAGCCCAACATCCAATCACAGCCCAGGGACACAGCTGGTTGGAGGGAGCAGCTGGGATGCCAATGGTGGCTATGATGGTGATGATAATAACAATAAATTATGGTCGTTCAGCATCGCTCTCCTCAAATGCCCCTCTCAGTCAGAGTTCAGATGTGGAACAAGACGTGATCCCTGCCCTTGAAGAGCCCAGAGGGCAGGGAGACTTCTTTGATGCTCCCACAACCGTCTGTATTCACCCATGTATGGGGAGGAGGGCGGAGGGTCACCAGAAAAAGTTGCCCTGGCTGGTAACTCGAGCTGACATTGCAGGATGAGCAGGAGTTAGCCAGGTGCAGAGGTCACCGACTGCTCCAGACAGAGGGCACAGCATATGCAAAGGCCCAGAGAGAAGACAGCAGGGAATCTGGGTCTCCTTCCAGGGCAGCTGTGAGACTAGGAGTCTTCTGGAAACAGGGCCTGCCTGTGGGTGTGGCAGGTTGCCCGCTGGGCTCCTGGGTGGCTCATTCCTGACTCTGGGCGGGGCCTCCTTGGGAAGGAATAAGGGAATCCTGGGGAGCGGTGTCAGCTTCCCCCTGCAGCCTTGGCTTTGGAGCCCAGCTGGCTAGACTAGGCATTGCCATCATTTTGCCGTGTCAGTTCAAGGGCAATCAGGCAGTTATCGAGGGTGCCCTGGGTACCAGGCACCAGAGAGCAGTGGAGTTTGATTATCTCCATTTGTCAGATGAGGCTCAGAGTGGGGAAGAGATGGTCAGCCAGTCGGGAAGAGCTGGGATTTGAAGCGAAGTCCCCTGGCCTTCAAAGCCCACGCCTTGAACCAGCGTGCTCCACGGCCCTTCTCGACCTCATCTCCCAGTTAGCCTGTGACACAGGGGTGTGAAGTGCCAGGCCCCACCTTCCACGCAGGCAGTCTTCCGAGTGTGACCTTGACGTTCCCACTCCGTGAGAACACGGAAGCTCTGCGGGGCCCGGGGAACCCTGGTCTCCCGGCAGTGCCCCACCCCCTTCCTGCCCAGGTTTTGATGCCCTCCCGTCTCCTCTCTCTCTTCCTCCAGTACCAAGGCTTCCAGGTCCAGCTGGAATCGGTGAAGAAGCTGAATGACCTGGAGGGGCAATGGGTGCCCAGCCCTGGCCTGAAAACCCAGAGGTCCCAGCCCTCCATGTGCCACTACCCGGCCCTGCCACTGGACCTCCAGCCCATCTGTGCCTCTGGGGAAGCGGACAGCATTTTCCAGGCCTTGAGTGAGTCCCCCCACCCCTGGCAAGCCTCCTGCCCCTCGTTCTCTCTCCTCCCCACACCCTAGCTCCTCTACCTCGTGCGGTTTCTGTTAAACGCCCAGTGGCTGAGAACAGGGAGATTCAAGAAACTCAAGCCCCTGGCCTCCCCGGTTGGGGCACTGAAATCAGGCATGCCAGGAACGTCTTCAGTCCCTGGCAGCCTGGACGGGGTGATCAGCCTACCTCCAAGACTACACAGATTGGGGGGAAAGGGACACAGGAAACAGACCCATAAAAATGATTGCAATGCAGTGGGATGATGGGTAAGGCACAGTGGGGACACGGGAGAGAGATGGTTCACGTCCACAGTGGCATAAGTGTTACTGAGTCCAACTGCACGACAGGCCAATAAATCAGAGACGAGGTGTTGAGGCATGGAATACAACTTTATTTGGAAAGCCAGCAGACCAAGATGATGGCAGACTAAGGTCTCCAGAAAACCATCTTATCGGGGTTTGGATGCCAGTTTCTTTTATAGAACAGAGAGGGGGAGGAGATGAGGAAGTAAAGTAAAAAGGCCATAAGTTTTGCAAATGTCCCTTGGAATGGCCAGCCTCTGGGAGGGGATGTGTTAATTTCTTCTTTCTTGCAGCCATCCACAGGGTGGACAGGGTCAGGATGCTTCCCTGAACAATAGCAGTTGGGTTTAACATTCAGGCAAAGGGGCAGGGTTCCCCAAGGCAGGCCATTATGTGTAGACGGTATCCTTTTAGTGAACAAAAGCAGCGGAAAGAAAAGGATAAAGTGAAAGAAACAACAGATCCAACACGTAGTCAGATTTGGCTCTTCCCTGTTACATAACGGGATCTGAAATGTTTCCAAGACAGGGTGACATATAAGCTGAAATGTGAGGGATGAAACAGCTGGCCAGGAGAATGTGGCAACTGGCTAGTATTTTTTCTTTTTTTCTTTTGATTTTATTGGAGTATCATTGATTTACAATATTGTGTTAGTTTCAGGTGTACAGCCAAGTGATTCAGTTATACATACACATCTATTCGTTCCTTTTCAGATTCTTTTCTCATATAGGTTATCACAGAATATTGAGCAGAGTTCCCTGTGCTATACACTAGGTCCTTGTTGGTTATCTATCTTATATATAGTAGTGTGTGTATGTTCATCCCAAGCTCCTGATTTATCCCCCACCCCTCCACTCTTCCCATTTGGCAACCGCAAGTTTGTTTTCGACATCTGTTAAGTCTGTTTCTGTTTTGTGAATAAGTTTATTTGTAACTTTTTTAAATGAGATTCCACATGAGTGATAGCATAGGGTATTTGTCTTTCTCTGACTTACTTCACTTAGTATGATAATCTCTAGTAGCTAGTATTTATTGAGCACCTACTAAGTGCCAGGCCCTGGGTCAATCTCTTTGCCTGCAAGCTCTCCTCACAACCCCTCTGTCAGGCTGACACAGTCGAGCAGGCAGGAAAACTCAGGCACAGAGTTTAAGTGACTTGCCCAGGCACTGCTAGGAGGACAGAACCTGGGACTTGAGCCCAAGCTGCTCACGCTTCTTCTAAACTTTCTTGCTCTTAATCTATGAGAAGGATGCCAGGCCCCTGCCTCAAACCCTCTCAGAAGCAGGCCTTCTCTGGCTGCCTGGTCAGTGGCTCCTTGGAGATGTTTCAGGTTCAGGTTCAGCTGACCAGTTTTCTCCTCTGCCCAGGGACCATCGCTGCTGATGACTGCGAGCTGTGCGTGAATGTTGCCTGTACTGGCTGCAGCTAAGATGGCCTGGGTGCCCTGAGCCCACCCTGGACACCATGCCCCCCCCCCCACAGCCCACTGCCTTCACAGCACCCACCCTCATCCAGGCTCTGGGGGTCCCCGCCACCACGGTCATTCCCGCCCCCCACCCCGCCCTGCAGGGCCCGAGCAGCTGGATCTGGCACAAAGCAGTTGGACCCACGGTTGGAGGAGAGTTTGGCCCCTGAGGCAGCCCTGCTGCTGAATAAAGATTCCCCACCTACACACAGAGTCAGACGTCCATTTGTTCATCCCCAGGAGCCATAGGCAGAACTGCCTAGGAAGCTGGGTGGGTTGGACTCCTGTGTCAGGCATTTTCATGGTTTCCTTCTCCTGAGGAGTTGCTCTATTTCATATCAAAGGAGTGAGGCTCTGGGTGGAAATGAGTCGCCCATGATCACAGGGCTGGGAAGCCACAGAGCACCCAGATCCATCTGACCTCCCAAGCTGAGCTCAAGTCCTGGCCCAGCTGCAGAGCCAGAGCTTCTGTGCTCCTGGTGGGGCTGGGGAAAGGACAGGGGCTTCCCTCCCGTAGGTGGGACTGCGGTGGAGGGGTTGGAGGGAGGAACCACATGGTGCCCCTTCGGGGCTGATTCTGCCCCCGGGCCTGCCTGAGTTCACCTTTACCTTCCTTCTGGGGCTCCCCGGGACTGCCTGGCCAGCTCCATATGGAAGGCCTTCCTTCCCTCTCTCCATCCTGGTGGCCCTAAGGAATATTAATAATACCAGCATCTTTTGAGCATTTGCTATACCCTAGGTACTGTTTTAAACTCTTTGTAGGTATTAACTCACCGAGTCCTCACAACAGTTCAGTGAAGCAGGTACTATTCATATTACCTTTACGAATGAGGAGACCCAGGTACAGAGAGAACTAATTAGTCCAGGGTCACAGGTTCAGCAAAGTGGCAAAGCAGGCTTCTTCCCAGGAAGTCTGGGCCAGAGTCTATACTCTGAACCATCATGTTACCGCCTCCCTGTGACTCCAGGCCCCAGCTGGAGCTAATGACACTCAAGGGAGGATGTCCTGCAGCCACTGCATTCCCCCAGGGGCCTTCAGTGCTCTACTAAAGGCCAAGAGACAGACTGGGAATTCCTGGGAGAAGGGCTTTCCACAGGGTGGCTTCCTCCCCGGCCTCTGTCCCGGGCAGCCAGAGAGGAGAAAAGCCAGGTACAAAGGGGCCATGCCCTCTGAGCTCAGCTCCCAGGGCCAAGGCCATGGTGGATTCCCCCAGACCAGCTGCTCCTCCTGTCTGCCCAGTTGTGCTCAATCGTCCTGTAACCTCCCAGCCTCCCAGGCCACACCCCTCGGAGCTCTGGCTCCTTCCCGTCCTCCCCCCACAGCAAGTCTTGCTAGGGGCCTTTGCAATGCCTCCTGCGTCTCTCTGGGCCCCTCCCATCCCTCTATCATCACTGCCTCCCTCCCTGTCCCATCCTCTCTCCCCCGCGAGGCCAGAGCTTCCTCCCTGCCCTGCATCCTGCAGGCTCTCCATGCCCACCAAGCCAGAGGAACACTGCAGTGCTGCTCCAACAGTGCCCCTTACCCTTCTGTGCCTCCCCAGTACCAACCCGCAAGTCTAAACTGAGCCCACTCACCATCTGGCCTCGTCTCCCACCTGCCTGGGAAGGAGGCAATAATGGGAACTGCCACTGAGTGAGCACCTGCTATGTGCCTGGCACAAGGCAGAGCCATCTAGACAGAAATAATAATAATAATAATAGCATCAGCACAGTGCTCACTCACACCGGGCCCGGTGGGGCGCTAAGAGTTTTCCCTGTATTACCTCATTTAATCTTCACTCACCCCTGTGAAGTAGGGGAGAGAACAGGCTAAGTAACCTGCCCAAAGTCACACAGCTGGTAACAAGCAGTGCCTGGACTGACACCCAGAGAGTTTGGCTCCAGAGTAGGAGCATTAAATAATTCTACCCCACCACCCATCTCATCAAGCACCCCTGCAACCTTGGGAGGAGGGATCTCCCAAGAGATCAGGGGTGAGCAGGGGTGAGGGGAGCAGAGGACATAGTGAGAACTATGGCTTGGGGTGTGGGCCCTGGGGGGAGGGCAGGAGGCATTGCTGAAGTGGTCAGGACGGGGCCAGATTCTGAGGCCCCTTGAACACTCTCCAGCCAGGGGCTGATCTCATAGCCCCTCAGTGCTTGTGTTGGTCATCCAAACCAGCACAGGAGCTCACATGTGGCTTAGGGATCATGAAAGAAAAGCAGAAGTTCCACCTCCTCCATTGGTGGTCGTTGGATTCAAGTCTCCTCGGTGTCTGTGAGTGGGGGGCAGGACCGATGCTGGCTTAGCAGGAAGAGCAGGGTTCTTGCACTTAGCACACTAAACCCTGAGCTGGCGAGGGCAGGGTAGGCATTCATAAAGTGGGATGCAAGAAGGAATGAAAGCAACACCAGGAGGACTCTGGAATCTGGTTTATTAACCGCGGGTGGGGGTGGATCTTGGAAAGCACCGGCAGCTCGGATGCGGGCAGGGGCTGGGCCTCCCCAGGCTGCCCTCTCGTCACTCCTCCATTCTGGGTAGGCGGAGCTGCGAGGAGGGGAGCGGCCTGCGGGGGAGGGACAGAAGGTAGCGAGCACCCGCCGTCCTAGCATCCAGCACAGGCAGCGTAGGCACAGATCTCACACGTGCTCGGATCCTCGGCGATGGCCTCTGGACAGGAGAAACGGGGCCCCGTGAGAGCAGCTTCCTCTGCCCAAAGCTCCCGCCCTCCCTTGAGCCAGAGTTTGAACATCCGCTACCCAGGAGAAACCCAGGCCTGTCCTCTCGGACCGGCGGCACTTCCCACCCCAAACCAGGACACAAGTACTGCAAGCCAGCCAATCAGGGCGGAGAGCCTACCCAGAAAGGCGTTACAGCCGAGACCAGACAAACCAGGACACACAGCAGAGAGCTTAACAGACCCACAATCAGAGCAGAGCTCATCCTCGGAATCCCACCAATCAGAACACACCTCTCCTTCAAGTGCCACCAATCAGGGAATTCCTGGGCCCCGCCCTTCAGAGAGGGGGTTACTCACCGAGCCTCTCCAGAATCTCCTGGGCATTGGGCTCCTTGCAGAGAGGCTTGAGTTCTTCGGGAAACCTCAGGGAGCTACAGAGGATGGGAACGAGGGCTCCACCAGTATTTCTAGACCTCCTAGGCTCCTGGAGCTGCTGGAGGTCCTTGAGCTTCTTCACTGACTCCAGAGAAAAGGAGAACTCTCCATCCTGAGAGAGACATGTTCAGGGTGTGAGGCCAGGCTACAGCCTGCTCCCTGGCCGCTTCCCCGAGGACCGCCCCCTCTCCAGCCCCAGTGCTCACACTCAAACAGTGTTTGCGGCACACGGGAGCCAGGTGCTCCACTGCGGGGCAATATAATGTGGTCAGAGCTCAGAGCCAGACACTGGGCTTGAATCCTGGTTTTGCTCTGCGGCCATGGACGGGTCATTACACTCTGGGATCCTAGGGTCTGCACATGAGGAATGGAGAAGACAGATGCGAAGCGGCAGGGACACAATAGGTACCTATTAGTGGGAGCCACTGTGCTGATTTTTAGGGAGAGGCACTGAGCTGGGACCAAGGCTCAGGCATCCTGAATCCACGTGGCTGTGCCCCAGTTGTCTTCACCCCTGCCTGAGAGCAGTGTGGGCTGATCCCCTGGCCCCCGGCTCCAGCCTGCTGCCTGGCTGATGTTTGAGAAGCAGTAAAAGGCCTCCCGGGGCCTGGCTGTGATAGAATGGGGCCCCCGATGAGTACCAGGCTGGCCTACGGCCGGCATCCACACAGATGGGCACACCCTTCCGTCAGGACCTCCAGGCTGTCCAGGTGATTCCTGAGACCCAGGCCAGGGCTTTGGCTGAGGAGGAAGGTCTGGAACTGAATCAAGCTCCTTCCCTTCCGAACCATGTGCGCATGCCCAGTTACAGAATCTCTCTGAGGCTCTATGTGACGCCTCTGAAAACTGAGACTAATAATCCCTCTTGCCACGGTGATCCTGGCGTCACGGTGACATACTGGAGGAACCTGGTCATGGCAGGCCCTCTGTAAATTGGCTAATCACCTGCCTTTCCCAAACTGTTTCTCTTTTCTCTACCTGATGTTCTTTCTCCAAGTTTGAAGAGGAAGGCGTAAGAGGCAGGACTGAGAAGGGGGTTCCTGGGGAAGAGTCAAGCCTTAGACATAGCCCCCACTCCGTCCCCAGAGGGGTGCTCTATCAGGGGATAGGCCCTGGGCCCTGGACATAGAGAGCCAGCTGGGCCACAGTAGGGACAGAGAATTTACCTTCACGGTGACTCCCCCTGCTAGGGCGGCCCAGGCCCCAAGGAGGCACAGTGCAGAGAGCAGGAAGGTGTTCATGGCAGCAGCGCCCAAGAGAGGAGAGGGCTTGGTTCTGCATGCAAGGGGAAAACAGTGGGACTTTTAAAGAGAGCAGGGTTACTGAGTAACCCAGGAGTCTTTGCCAGTGTCTCATCTGCTTGCTTGTCAACTTAACCCTAATCAGATAAGGCTCAAGACAGCCCTGGCCGGTAAGAAATCATTCGGGGGAGGCCGTCAGAGCCCCAGCCCCTTCTTGGACTCCCACTTTAACCCATGGCTGGGCTGGGTCCTGCCTTCAGGACCAACCACTCACACTCACTGACGGCTGTGGGCCACGCCATGCGCCAGGGTGGGGCTGCAGACCCAGCCCAGCCCTTAAGGAGGAGGACCAGTGGCGATGCAGGGTGATTAGGGGAGTGGGTGGGCGTGAGGAATGGAGGGGCCATTCAACCAGCCAAGGGGCGGGGCAGTTCAAGAAGCTTTCCCAAAGGAGGTTTAGAGAATGGGTGGAGATTTTCTTAGAGAAGGGGCTGAGGGTAGAAGGCCATTTCTTGCAGAGGATACTACACTTGAGACAGCAGGGAGGTGAAATAGGCCTGGAATAATCAAGGAAATGTGAGTAATTCAGCCTGGGGGGGAGGAGGAGGTTGCCAGGGGGCTTCAAGTGTTAAGAAATGAGATTACCAAGGCAGGCGTTAGGTTTGGCCACTGTGACTTTGAGGAAGGAC